CTTGGGAGGCAGAGGCAGGTGGATCTCCAAGTTCAAGGCCAGCCTGGTCTATGTTATGCCCAGATTGCAACCTCAAAGAGATCACCGAAGACTGAGGATGTCCAGAATGCAACAGCAAGGTTTATTCTGTAGATACAAGCCTAGGCAGGGAACTCGTTCCTACACCCAACACAGTGAGGCAGGGAGGAGTTGCTCTTTCTTTGTGAGGCTAGCTTTTTAAAGGCAAAAACCACAAGCCCTTCTGGCCATTTGGGGAGGTTGGGGGTTTGGCACGGGTGCAACTCGGATTGGTTTATTTTTATCTCTGTTCTCTTTTAATTAGGTGAGGGTATGTAACCTTTGAATTTACTGGTTGGGGTTTACAATTATCATTTTGGGGGCTGTTCGGGACAAGTCCCAGGCTTTGTCCTTGAGCTGCCATGGGGGCTGGCTGGCCTACCATGTTCACATTAACTCTTGCATGTAGCTCTAAGTTGGTGAGCGGTCCCAGACAGTAAACAACTAGCTGAACTTTGAGCAGTCAGAGTACGTGCAGAAAGGGAGCTAGTGCAAGGACTATGTCTTTTGTTCACGGCCCTCCCAGAAACTACTTGCTCAAGTCTCAGGAAACTGAACTTGAGGCCTGATCTCTGAGAGAAGACTGAGCAGCCTATTATGGCATCTTCTTGGTCCTTTCAGTCTACAAAGTGAGTTCCAGGACAGCCAGTGCTACAAAGAGAAATTCCGTCTCAAATAAAACAACAACAACAAAGAGGTTTAGAAAGTAAGATTAGAAAAAAAGAAAAGGAGAATAAAAGAAAAAAGCAAGAGATTAAAAAAAAGATAGCACCAGAGCATCATTCACGCTAAAGACCTTCTTTGTATATTCTTTGCCACTGCTAGTCCCAGAGGTCATGTGGCCTGTAGTCCAGGTAGACACTTCTGTTTGTGGGTTTGTCTAAACAAAGCCTTGTCTCCCAGGTGCTTTGGGGGAAGTGGGCATGAAAACAGAGCATGGAGTTCTGCAATGGAGAGAAGTCCTGGGAGCTGAGCTGTGTGCCTAAGCATTTTCAGATCCTATCCAGCAGCAAACCACCATGCTATAAGGAAGAATCTGTGGAAATTGAGTAATCCTTTCACTGGGGTTCTGAGTTCTCAGTCCCTGTCTGCTGCACACAAATTACAGCATGAGATTGTAGCTAGAGTTTTCTCCAGTCCTGCCTGGCCCACGTCACCTGCCCGTCCCACAGCTGCTCAGACCCAACCAAGTAAACAAACACACAGAGACTTATATTGCTTACAAACTGTATGGCTGTGACAGGCTTCTTGTTATCTAGTTCTTATATCTTAAATTAACCCATTTCTATTAGTCTATAAGTTGCCATGTGGCTTTGGCTTACCGGTACCTTACATCTTGCTTGTCATGGCGGCAGCTGGCAGCGTTTCTCTGCTCCAGCATTCCTGTTTCCAGAATTCTCTCTGCTAGTCCCACCTATACTTCCTGCCTGGCTACTGGCCAATCAGTGTTTTATTTATCAATCAATCATCCACAGCATGAGACAGTTTCAGAAACTAAAGAATCTTTCAGCCATTTTCTCAGAACTCTCAGGCTCAGCAGTCATCCACAGGAACCGTGTCATTTCCGGTACAGGAGTCAGGGCTGCCTGTCCTCATGCCTCCACAGCCTAAGCTAGGAGTGTGTCCGTCAGTCACTCCCACCTGCACTACTGTCCCTTATGGCTGCCCACCACCCAGTACATCCCAGGGCACCATGACATGTGCTTGATGGTTTTGGATCCCCACCACAGCTCAAACTCAGAGAACAGAAGCTCCTGGTTCTAGCATTGTGAGAGACAGAGTGTGTAGAACTTGGGCTGTGCCCATCTGTGTTCCTTTGTATTATATAGGACAGTAGTTTTCAGAGTGTGTCTTACCCTGGGTGACTCCATTTTATACTACAGTGGTTTGCTTCATTTTGAAAACAAATGCTGAAGCAAAATGACTCTGTACCTTGTGTGTACAAGTATCCAGCACAGATAGTAAGACATAGATTGATAAATAACTTATTAATACAAATAAATTATCCCTACCTATAAACATATTAAGCCAGGAACATCTAGACCCATGATATTTGAAGACATTGACCAAGAAATAAAGCTTGTGTGTTGTCCAGAACACCAGAGCAATGATCGCTGTCATGCCCTCACTTGGATCACACCCACTGAGTCATCATCAGACCACCTGATGTGTGCATCACTAGACACAAGGCAACAGACTCTCAAATCTGACCCCAGGACTTCTGCTCTCCATGACCACATAAGTGAAGTGGCTCACTTGAGCTTCCATTTGTTCAGACCCTTGTGCCTGGAGTCAGCTGTGCTTTAGCAATCTGCCCCTTGAGCCCTCTCTGGATCTTGAACTGACACTGTGCCTTGAACCAACTGAGTATTTATTGGCCACCCTGTTCCAGAATAGCTTTCTCTGCTGCTGTATTAACTCTGTTTTTCCTTCCACAACTCTGCTTTAACCTTGCACCTTTCTTGGTGATACTGTATATCATTGTTTTCAATGCATTCTGTGATCTGAGGGGAAATACTGGTCATTAGGATTAGAAGGAACCAGTTTACACTTGCCAAAAGGCAAAGCCTCAGAAAAAGTGAAGGTAGTTGAGAAATGAAAAGCAAGAAAGTTGATGCAGCTTGTGAATGCATTGTTCTTCAGTAATTCTGACATGTGGATGACATGAGTGTATCCATGCATGTTTTTCACATGGCATCCCCATCAACAATTGTAACAGCACAGGCCCATAGGGTCAAGGAAATTGGCTCAAACCAGTTGCCAAGGTAACCACATAATGTACTCCTTATGAGCCAACCTGGAGTCTGCCAGAGGACCTAGCAACAGTTGCTGTCAGAGTTCCTGATCATGCCCAGCCAATAAGGGATGACCACACAGACTGGGTGCTGGGAGGAGGGTATACAAGGCCTTCCCCTTTAGTGAATAAGAGTTCATTATTTGCCTTCAACTGACCTGGTGTCTGTGCCATTGACAACACACTTTCTCACCCCCTCCCCCAAGGGAGGCTTATAATCCAGCAACAGAAGGTGATTGATTCAATGAGTTTATCCCAGTACTGCTCTGCCATGCAGGAGGAGACAGTGTCAGGTGGAATACCCAACCTGGATTTAAGGCTCCAGAGAATGATGGGTTCCTCCTAACAGTCTGCTATCACCAGGGCAGCCTGCTTGACCTTGGAGTTGCTACCCTGGCCTCACACATGCTGAACATGCACTGACCTGTCCTCTCAGGGCCAGGCCATTGATTCTCTAGGTGCTAGTTGTCTTCTGCAGGTTCCCCCTCACAGGCGATCTTGTTCAGGTACTTCAGACCCTGTTGTCAAGTCCTGCAGACTTCTTACACTATCATGTAGCTCTCTGTCTTTTTAACTTGGAGCTTCTTTTTTCATGTGGTAATTCTCATTCAGGATGGATTTCATTTCAATATCAGTCATGTATTTCTCCAGTTCTCCTTCTTAATCTATCAGTGTTTAAGTGGTTGCTAAATGCATTTCTGAAATCTTAATTATGATGGTTTTTAAAATAGGTTTTGTGTCTTGTGATAGGAAATCTGTAATTGCTTTCTTTCTGTCTTTGAATGTAGCAATCAATTACCCTATTATTAATGATTGCTAATCGCAGTCTGGATTACTTGTGAACCTCTTTCTATGTTCTCACTTTAGGAATATTTGATCATGTTTACTGGCATGCTAGAAATTTGCAATTGAAAGTTTGGATACATTCTTTTGACCAGGAGGGTTTTAACATTCTTCCAGCAATGTCTGAGTAGAGCACACTGATGTGTCAGAGGCTTGGCCCCATAGTTTGGTTTGTCTGAATTCCCAAAGCCTCAGCCCTCTGGACCTCAGGGCACAGGGTTTAGAACATGCCATTGTTCTGAGGATCCAGGTTTGCCTGGTGACAGATTGCTAATGGTTTTCCCAGGAGTAACAGGGCTTCTGGCAGATGTGTTTAGCAGGTTTTGTTTTCCTGCCTTTCCTGGAGTTGCCCTGTACTTTTGAGGTTTTATGTGCTCATGGCAGGAGGGAAGGCAGGAGGGGGCTGGGCTGGCTCCAGTGCTGCTGTCCCCCAGCCCAGCTGGTCCCTCAGAGGCAGGAGCTCACCTGCCAAGATGTCAGCTCTTAGAAAGGAAAAACTATCTGTGTTGAAGATGGTATTTTAAACTGTTTTACAAGCTCAGTTCAGTAAAGGTCTTACTTTAAAGCAGACATTAATAATTTGTGAAATGGACATTTAAATTCCATTTATATTGTTTTTCCTAAAAAGTCCTAAGTTGCATAGCTACTGATTTGGTGTCCCTAATCATTATCATTTTAAAATCTAAGTCTTGATGGAATTTCAACATTCCCATTCCAGCAATGATGATGTCATTGTCAGCAGTTCATCTTCTTGGCATCTGAAGATGCCTGATGACCAGAGGTACAGTCTGAGTCTGGAAATATCAGAAATTTCTCCTGATCGCATGCAAGGCCAACTTATTATTATGTTATACCCCATAATCAGACACACACATGCACACACACATACACACACACACACACACACACACATGCACACACAGGACATGTGGTAATGATGGTCATGTATCTGCCTCTGAACTTATATTGTATCACAGTGTGCTTTTGAAGTAAGACAAATCTGCCCCCTCATCTGTCCCCTTCTTATGTTATGAATTATGAATCACATTTATGCTATACTCATTAGGGCTCATTTGTTTATTAGGAATTTGGTGTCTAAGGGGAGTCTATGTACTCAGTTCTGTCTGCTTCTCCTTGGGTCCTTAGGTAATCACAGCCCTCTGGACCATTCATCAGGAAGGAATCTGCCTATTACTGCACAATTTAGAACAATCCTGAAGTGTGCTCTATTGTGTAATAAGGATGTGTGTATGTACCATCAACTCACTATTGCTGTTCCTTCTACAGAAAGGAAGAACCTCTGGAGATGTCTTCCAATAATGACCCTGTTACAATCCCAATGATAGAAAGAAATCCCAGTGACCTTCCTGGAATGGACACCGGTGACCCAGACACATTGACTGGAGAGGCTGTGTTGAGTTTTCATAACATCAGCTATCGAGAGACGGTGCAGAGTGGATTTCCATTTCGTAAAAAAACATTTGTGATAGAAAGACTGTCAAATATCAAGTATGTGCATGAACTAAAGAGACCACAACTTTGAACAACTTTTTCAACAAATTGTCCATCATCAATAAGCTGTGTGTGTATGTGTTTGTGTGTGTTCAGTGTATATATCTCTTTATGTGTGAGTATGTGTTCACATGTGCAGATGTGTGAATGCTATGACACACCCATGGCACAAGGCCATCACAGGACAACCTTGAGCACTGGTCTTCACCTTCTACCATGTTGCAGACAGAGTCTCTCACTGTTCACTGCTGGGTATGCCAGACTAGCAGCCTGCAAGAGTCCTGGGATTCTCCTGCCTCTGTCTCCATCTCTCCATAGAGCATGGAGTTACAGGTGCCCACTTCTGCACCCAAGGTCATGTGAATTCTGGATGTTTAACTTAGGTCCTCCCCTCACACAGCAAGTGATTCATCCAATGAACCATCCCCCAGCCTCACCTTGTCATATGCAGATAGGTTCACAATGACAGTGAAATTAATGAGATGGAGACTAAAAGAACAATGTATTGGATTAATGGCACCAAAAGTTGGTTCTTTGAAAACACAAACAAGTTGGACAACCCCTTAGACATATTATGCCCAAAAAACCCTGAGAAATTATTTTAATTCAATAAAATTAGGAATTAAAACATAATATCAAAGACACACTATTAAAATCAAAGTATGAGGAGGAAATATTGAAGATTTAATACCTAGAAATTTGAATATATAAAAGAACTGTATACGTGTCTGTATGCAATGCACTCTCATAACTGAACTGAGAGTTTCTAACAGGCTGTCTGGGTCAGTTACAAGTGATGAGATGGAAGCAATGAGGAAGTCCCAACAGCAGAAAGTCCCGGTCCTCCTACATTTGCTCAAAACTCATTAAGAGCTAAAAAGAACTAAAACCAACATTCTACATATTGTTCCACAGAGAAGGCTTGCTTCTGACCAAATTCTGAGGACAGAGCACACACACCAAGATTTCCCCACTCAGTCTGTTTAGATTCTTCCTCCCAACCCCAACCATGGCCTCTGTTGTTGGGCACTGGTCATTTCTGCTCCTCCACCAGAACTTCCATCATTTTCTTACTAAGAGGGGAATGGGCAGGGCAAAGGATTGACACACTGTCTGGATATGAAATAACAAATGGGAACATAGCTAAGTTTTCTATAAGAATATGCCTTTTTCAATCTGGATACTCACTACTCTGAATCAATCAGTTTTTTTTTCATAATTTGTGTTTGTGCTGTACCTATACATCAATAAAGAATGTTCTCTACCTGAAGGATGTGTCCCAATTCTAAACTGAGCATATGCTAATCTCTTTATCAAGGAAGGAAATCATCATTTTGTGGGTATGTAGTTAGCTTTTCTATTTTGATTAAAATGTGTTTTGTTTTGTATAATTTGTTTTGAGTGTTAAACTTGGCAAAACTCTCCTGTCTTCTGGAGTGCTTCTTTCTAATCTTGGATTTCCTCTTAAGAGGCATTGATTTTAGTTTGATCCTATTTAAATAATAATGACACTGCTACTGATATCCCATGGATCACTGGTTTTTTGTGACAAGCTTTAGGAGGCAGCAAGCAGGGCTATATGAAGATACTGATCATCAAACATTAGCAAAAAACTGTTATATATCTGACACATAAATCCCATATGTGTAATGAAGTCTTCCTGAGAACCTGCTAATTGCTTCAAGGAACACTGAACTTAGGTGCACTGTGCTTCAAAAAAAAAACAAAAAAAAAACAAGTCCTTAAATAGTAAACAAAGAGGTATTGTGATATGAGGCATTTATCTGATGAGTCCCCACTAGCATTTGACATCTTTTGTAAATAATAGGTTTCTATTAATATTTCAATCTTATGAATTTGTACTTATATTCTGTATAAAATTTCATCCAACTTCAACAGCATGTTCACTGTAGACCCTAAGTAAATAAAACTTCTTTAAAATAGAAAATCAACCAGTATGACTTTGTGCTTACAGTGGCATCATGAGACCTGGCCTCAATGCCATCATGGGACCTGAAGATGGGAGCAGATCTTGGTGAGTATAACGGAAAGCACATGTGAGCCCTTAATATCCAGTTTCTGTGCTGTAAAATCACTTCCACAGGGGTTATTTATGTATTGTGTGATTGTATGTGTGTGAGTCTGTAAGTATTGTGTGAGTATACCTGTGAGTATATATGTATGAGTCTGGACCCATGTGCTGTGGATAATGTGCAGGGGATGCATTCTAATTTTCTACCAAGAGCAGAAAGTCTAACTAGATCCACTTTACTGATAGGAAATGATAGAGTGATTGATATATGGTGTTGGGTCATATTATTATTTAATATGAAAGAGATAATATTAAAATTGGGAAGATAAAGCAGAAGTTTTCTGGGGACAAGGAATCATTACCAGGACTAATTCTCAAAATGCAGCATCACATTAACTCTTTGAGTCCCCAAGGTCAGGGAGGGGGGCAGTCATGTGAATCATTCTTGCATTCATAATTCTGGCCTATATTAGAGCATATATTGAACAGAAAGGAATGTGTGTGTGTGTGTGTGATCTCAGTAAAACTTCTTTCGACTTGTTCACTGCTTAATTCGCTGTTTTACTTTTAATGCAGAATTTTTTATTCTGAGTAGCCAAAAGGTTTTTACTGAAGGAAGAAAATAAACTACAAAACATAATATACTTTGTAGGTTATTAGATGTCTTAGCTGCAAGGAAAGTTCCACATGGATTATCAGGAGATATTTTGATAAATGGGAAACCTCGACCTGCTAATTTCAAATGTACTTCTGGTTATGTACCACAGGTAAGTGTTGGTGGGTTTGTAATTTTATATTTCCCCTGCTTCTCTACGGTTAGATGCTCAGCTTGTAGATATGTGTGTTTCCAAGTAATTATATGACACATTTATAGGCCCAATTTTCTGTACACCAGCTTTTCTGATGACTCATTATCCTGAAGCTGGCAATATTAAATAAGAAGATGGAGAGGCATTGGCATATGACATCTGCAACATAGTATTCATAATTTCAGCTGTAATTTAATTCTACAAAGGACTAATGTTGTCTGATTTTGCCATAATTGCAGGTAGTTGTAACACGAATCTTACAAGGTCTTTAATAATAATAATAATAATAATAATAATAATAATAATAATAAATAATAATAACCCAGAGCCAGATATTGGGATAAAAACTGACAGATCAGAGAAGCAGAACAATCCACAGCCAGCCTCACTTCACCAACTCCTCAGCCGATCCTGTTTCCAGGAATCCTCAGACTGAAAGCCTCTGAGTCTTCACCCCTGAGAGTCTCAGTTGAACTGCTACTTAAAAGCTTCTAGTTCCTGGTCCTCGTGCCTTCTGTACCTTTCTGCTTCCTGCCATCACTTCCTGGATTTAAACGCATGTGTCCTTCCCAAGCAAAGACATGAGATCTCAAACTCTTAGATTAAAAGTGTGTGCCACCATGCCTGGCTCTGTTCCCAGTGTGGCCTTGAACTCACAGAGATCCAGATGGATCTCTGCCTCCTGAGTGATAGGATTAAAGGCATGTGTGCCAACACTGTCTGGCCTCTATGTCTAATCTAGTGGCTATTCTGTTCTCTGACCCCCAGATATCAACCACAGGTAGCAGTCATCAAAATCCTTGTGCTCTACTTGAAAGGCAAATGGGAGGAAGGTGAAAATGATTGCATCAGGCTCTGTACCTGAAATTAGTAAAATTGAAAGAATATTTTAAGTACACCATTAGATTGGATATGCTGTATATGTGACTAGGTTATACATATTAGAGTGATGGTCTTACTGATAACTCTTTATGATTAAATTTAAAATTCCATTTAACCTTAAGAGTGACATGGTGAAGCACACGGTGACTGTGAGAGACAATATAGAGTTCTCAGCGGCTCTTCGACTCCCAATGACTGTAACAAGAGATGAAAGAAGAAGGCGAATTGATGAAGTCCTTGAACTTCTGCATCTGGATAAAGTGGCAAATGTCCAGGTAATGTGAAGAGACATCTTGGAAAACTCAGAGAGAGAGAGAGAGAGAGAGAGAGAGAGAGAGAGAGAGAGAGAGAGAGAGATTCAGAGAGCAAGAGAGAGACAGAGACAGAGACAGAGAGAGATCCCTGTGTGGATTATATGACCCTCCATTATCAGTTTCCTCTAATGTGTGTGGTCCAGGTGGCTGCTCTCTGTATTAATGAGTAAGTGACTGGTTACATGATGTAAAGTGGAGATTGAGCTGGGAAGCCTTCTTACAATGGTTAAACCTGGGAATGGAGTGTGATCCAGAAGGGAAAAGTGCTCCTCACATGGCCATTTCCAAGTTTCCTCACATGAGCCTCCTCTTCCTCAGACTTAAACTCTTGACTCATGGAGAATCTGACAAGTGTATTCTTCTGTTTATTGTCTCTTCCCTGAGGACTTGGCCCTTTGCTGTTTCAGAATGTTTTCTGGACTGACATATGGCGTGGGATTGAGGACTCTGGCTCTGTGTTTCACTCTGCATTTATTTCCTCCAGGGTTGTACCTGGTCTCTTTAGCATTTACTTCTGACTTGTTCAGTGCTTGTTATTTTCTGTAGCCTTTCTGTGTTTTTATCCCATCCTGTCTGTGGTGGCTAGTGTCAACTGTCACCTTGACACAGTCTGGATCCACCTGGAATCATCTAGAAGAGAGTCTCAATGAGGAATTGTAGTCAGTTGTCTTGTGGGCATTTCTGAGGTGACTGTCTTGATTGAGTTAAGCAATGTGGAAAGACCCAGCCCACTCAGGCAGCACCATTCTTTGGGTTTTGGTCCCAGATGTCATGAGAATGGGGAAAGTGGGTTGAACACTGACAGGCTTGCATGCATTCATCCTCTCTGTTCTCTTGACTGGATGTAACCAGCTGCATCAGCTTCCTGCCTGGACTTCCCTGCAATCGTTGATTGTACTTTGAACTGTATGTTGAAATAAAACCTTTTGCTCCTTGTTTACCTTTTATCTTAGCAACTGGCCATAAAACTAGGGTACACTTTGCCCTCACTCCCCATTTCCTTATCTTCTGTTAATATTTATTCCCAGACCCTGTGTAAGGTTTTATAGACACAACCTTGGGCAAGTGTAGCAGTGAGTAGACCAGTGATGCCTCCTTTTGAGACTTGTGCAGGACCAGGAAAGGTAATAAATAGATGAGTGGTGAACTTCACAGCTGACTATTGAAATAGATTGTTTGTTTCTTACTGACATATGAAAAAGAATATTGTGTAGTATTTCTTCCCTTTATACTTATTCTTTATCCATGAAAAATAAGGACATTAGTTCATCTTAATAATTCCATTTTTAATTATCAAAATGAAATTAATCTTGATATCCTCAGCCTGTCAGGTCTATAACCATTTGTAATCCCCAAATTTTATGATTACATTGTTTATAGAACCTGATCAGGCATTTAATTTATTATATGCCTAGAGTTTTTGCAACGTTAGGGTTATTTCCCTCTTCTTGTGTCATCCAAACCGTCCTCCCTCTCACAATGACATGGACTCATTGATAAGATTATATATAGATGTCTGCTGATCAGGCATTTGGTGGTATGGATGGAAATGTGCTCCCCAGAATATGATTCTCATGGACCAGCTCTTGTGGGGGCCCCTCCTTCCAGGCAGTGAGGAACAGGAAGGTACTGACTGTTGATTCCCATGATACTTCTCCACAGTCGTTGATGAGATGTGTGTCTTATTGTGAAGAATAGTAGACAAGCTAGTATTTACCACACTTTATTTTTTCCTGAGTGAGGGGATTTTGTGTGCTTTGGCTCTGTTTATTTACATGGTTTTATGTTTACAATAGCTATTTTCTTTAGTTTTGTTTTTAACAATAATTAGTCATTTCTCTAAGTTCCTTACTTTTTTAAGGGACAACATATAAAGATATTTATTAACTTCTTAAAAGTTATGAAATATAATAGGTTATAAGAATTTTAATATAGTTTTTTAATGATAGCTTTCAAAAATGGTATGTGTGCATGTATGTGCTTGTGTGTGTGTGTGTGTGTGTGTGTGTATGTGTGTGTTTGTGTGTGTTAGTTGTATTTGTATCTGTGTGTGTCTCTGTGTATATGTGTGTGTTGGGAGTGTGTTAAATTTAAACTAAATTACTAGAGATACTTAGTCTTCTCCTGTCATGTCTTCCTTAACTCCTTGACAGAGATTACATTTTGCTAGTCTTAGAGTATAATAACTCATTTCCCTAGAACATGGGACTTGATAAAGAACAAACAGTAACTGTCATTAGCATGGGCTTCATGTCAAGTCTGACCTGAGCCTCTTTCTATTCACTTGGAAAAGAGAGATGTCCTTCTTCTCCCAGGTGCCCATACTCTGCTCTTCAGGATAAAGACATAGCAAAATCTTTTATTTCTGGAACAGTGTAGTTCACCAAATGACAATGACTGTGGTTGTTCTTCTTGATAATGATGGTCGTTGGTGCTCTAGCCTAGATCTAAGGAGCTCAGGAAAAGGACCAGTATAGCAATGGAGCTGGTCACCAAGCATCCCATTCTGTTCTTGGATGATCCCACCACTGGCTTAGACTTGAGCACTACAATAGATGTCATCTCGGTCCTGAGAAGGTGAGTGATGAAGGAACATTAAGTTTTATTCACTTAACACCCAGTCACTTGTGTGTATTTTTGGTGCAGGAGATTCAGAAGTAAGCCATAGAATTTCTTCCATGTTTATTAGAGGGAAACTTCAGTTAACAAGGAACACACATCAAGAACAATGAGACAAGAGCATAGGGAAAGATGGCTGTGGAGAAGGTGGAGCACTGCTTTAAATAAGTGTCCCCATAACCCTCAAGCATGTGACAAGTGAGCTGTGTGAGTGGGTGAGATCTGAACAGAGTGCTGTACAGAGGGGAAATGCATTTGTTCTGAGGCAAAGCATGTTTAATGTGTCTGCTGAGGCCTGTCTCACTGAGTTGTGGATGGTGTCTCCTTCCTCTTTATGCCCCTATACCCTGATCTTAAACGGACACCAGTTACATTAGGACACACCAGCTGAGGACCTATAGGTGCCAGCCCTAAAGGCCTCTTTCAGGGTCCAAAAAAGTTGCTACAACAAGTGAGGAATTTCTAATGATCTCAGGGTGAAGGAATGAATCAGTTCCCACTGTACTCTTTCTAGGCAAGTTTCTTTCTTGTTCTCTGTTCTCTCTGTTTGCCAAAGTCTCCAGTTTAAATACACATACAATCTGCAAAAGTAAGGTCACAAGGCTTGATTCTTTCAGGGTCTTAAAGGCCAATGAGAAATGTACCAGGCAGTGACTGTCAGGCTTTCTTTATGACTCAGGTGGAAGTGACTCGTAAAAAACCTCAGTGAACTCTTAAAGGGAACGGGCTCAAATGAAAGGGAGAGAGGTCTTAAATCAATAGGGAAGTCTAGGAAGGGAAGAGGGAAATTCGAGTGTATTACTACATTCCTAAGTGTGGCTCGATAATAAGCTAATCAATAAACCGAGGTGAAAGTAAGTGTAAGGAGTTAAGAACTTATTTAAGATTAGTGCAGGGTGAGCTCAAGGCAGTGCTTTCCTATCTACTGGTGGGGTAAGATCAGAGCATGCTTGTTGCCAACTATCTAAGGGCTGTGAATCAACAAATTCAGACATGTTGTAATTCTATGTCCTTGGGCATCTGTGAATGTCTCAGATGAGATCCTTTTCCCTGGATACTAACACTGACCAACTGTCTGCCAATAAAGATAATTGCAGGAAAGCAGACTTCTAAGTTTATATTGGGAAATGGAACAAAGGTTTGACTGTATGTATGACTTACTTTCACACATTGCTGGAGGAAGTCATCCAATATACCAGTGCATAGGGGAAATTGTGCCCAATAAGTGATCACTACACTGCTAAGCTGTGGGAAGAAATCTTAAGTTGTAATAGAAGGGAAGGAGCTATGGCTTCACCCAAGAAATCTGCAGTAAGAAAGCAGCCAATTCATTCAAAAGGCAGTAATTCCAATATGCCTTGAGAGTTGGTTTAATCCTCCATCAAAATATTCATGTTTCTACTAGGTTGATGTTCTAAATAACAGCTGAGATCTCACTGCATAATCTTTCAGCCTGCAATAGCACATAATAATGGATCCTGAAACACTAGTATTCTCATTTAAACTTAATTACCTTTTAAAAAAGAATTTATCCCCAATTATAACTACATTCTAAGTTCTTAGATGTGAAGTCTTCAACAAATAAGTCTTTAGAAGGACACAATTCAGCCCTCCACATTCACAGTTGAAATGAGGGGCATTGGTTGGGATGGATGTAGATTACCTGGACCACCTGGGCCATTGTAAGGACTAAGGTTTCCATGGCAGGGGATGTGGGAAAGCTTCTGAGTTTAGAGCAGAGCATGCACCATGGAGAAGGTTGTGTAGTTGCATCACGGAGATGTAAAAATGTCAGCAGGAGGCTGAGGTGTGGGGGTTCCTTAGCTAGGAAATGGTATGTGCTGGGGTGCTTTAAAGATGGAATAAATAGAATTATCTCAGGGACTGGCCCTGGATGTGATGGCTGAGGGAATGATTCCTAAGGTCTGGGTCCTCAACCTAAGAAAGAATGAAATAAAAGAAATGGTATTTCCCTCTCTCCAGAAAGAAGTCTGCAGCTGAAATAGTTATAGAAAAAAGTGTAAGGGTTAGGTTTTTACATTTTAAAAATTAGTAAGAGTTTCACACTGACTGAATAACCCCAAGAACCGTATAAGAACTGTCCCATTCCCATGACCTGGGCTCCTGGCTGTTGAACTTTACTGCACTCTCTGTCTGTCCTTCCTTCCCTTTGTTCTTTGTTTTGTTCTGACATCACGGTCCATCACCCTAACCACTCCTGCCTGTCCCTCCAAGAACTACATCATCCACCCTTGCACCTTCCCGGTGAGGAAGTCAACACCTGGGGCCTTGTCACTTTCTAGTCTGTAGACTCCTCAGGTGTCACACCTTCCCTGTCTGTCCCCTCTCCTGTCTGCTTCAGGACACTCTAAGATCAAGTTCTTATTCATTTTCAGTATGGAACGCTTCTCTCTGTCCTGTGTCTCATGCCATGGCTAGTCTTAGTGCATTGCATGGGGCCATCCTAAGTGTGGTTTCTCCCAGGGTTCTGGGAGCAGACTCAGGCCCTGATATGCTGTGTTCTCCTTGGTCTCCAACACTCCTGGAAGTGCATCTTAGTGGTACAATCATTTTAATTTTTTAAAATTTTATTTATTTATTTAGTGTGTGTGGGGGGTGGCGTATAACATGCATGTACAGGTCATAGGCATACTCGATAGACTTGGTATTCTCCTTCCACCAAGTGGGTTCTGGGGATGGAACTCAGGTCTTTAGACTTGGCCTCAAGTGCCATATCTACTGAGCCATCTTGCCTGGCTGGCTTGAATCTTGGTCATCTAACCATGCTGGTGGTTGCTGATTATATTATATGAAATTGTAGCTTTTCCTCTGTGGCTTATGAATAGTCTGTCAGGGAAAACAGTCGTCTATTATGCCATTATTCTGCCCCATCTCGTCTCTACCAACCAGTTGTCCTGCATGAGGTCAAGGTGTGCCCAGCTCTTTCACTCCCTTTTTTTCTTTCCCTGCCTCCCTCCTTCCCTTCTTCCCTCCCTGCGTCTGTCCTCCCCTCCCTCCCTCCCTCTCTTTCTCTCTCCCTCACTCTTTCACTCACTCTCTTTCTTTTCTTCTTTCTGTTTGTCTTAATAAAACAGGGTCTCATGTAACCTAGGTGGGCCTTGAACTCCTGATCCTCCCAAGTGCTGGGACATTACAGATAGGTCACAATACCCAGCTTTAAAAAAAATCATAGTTCTTTGTTGATTCTTTGGGAATTTCACATCATGCACCCCAATCCCATCCAACTCCCAGTCTGTCCCCCCATATCCACACTTCACCCTCATAGCACCCTATAAAGAAAAACTTAAAAATAAAGAAAAATAAGAAAATAAAAATATTAATTAAAAATTAAACAAAACAATACAAAGAGAGACAGCAACAACTGAAACAACAGAACAAAAGAAAAACAAACACTTCACTCCTCTGTCTCTCCCCCTCCCCATCTCCTCTTCATTTGTATTAGTGGCATTGGAAGCTGCAGCACGTCATGGAGTAGACCCTTCTGTCCAAACAGCTTTACGTGTATAACCAGTTGTTGGTGAGGTTCAAGGCCTCTGGCTTCTGGTACACCATCAATGCAGGACCCTCAGTGAAACTCCTCTGGGATGTCCTGCTGCTACTCTGAGTCATGGAGATCCTGCAGCTATGGTTCTGCAGGATCAGTCCCTACATGTGCTACAGCAGGTCACAGATGGGGTAGATGTTGGGTTGGGCAAACTCAAAGCCCTGGATGTATGCCTGGGTGGTAGCTGGGCTGGTCAGTCCAGGCCAGATGTGCCACCACACCCAGCTTTTATAAATGTATTTTCAAAGAGTTTTAAACAGTGTTTTTGGTTATTGTTTTTCCTAACAGGAGATATGACTCCCTTAAATGGTAGTTCAGCTTATTTTTTCCTATCATGGAATTAAATCAAATCCCAGCTTTGGCCCTCACTGTGACCCCTTGGCCTGCTGTGGAACTTTCTAAGCCTTATCAACAGTAAGGGGAAAATTATATTAGAAGTGCCTTATGCCAATATTGTGAAAATTGAGATGAGGTTCTTGCTGAAGTGTTTAACAAGGAGAACAAGTGGTTAGTAATGTGGATCACAGTATCAGAACAATGAAAACCAATTCCCGAAGAGGCAGAAAGTGTAAATGATTGAAGAGAATTGTGCATATAATCATAGTTGTAATATTTGCTCTGTCATGGGTTCTCAGGCTTGAGTGAACATGCCCATCACCTGGGCTGCCTGTTCATGATATGGATTCTTTACACTGACTCCCAGATATTCTGATTCAGTGTCTAGGAGACCGCCAGGGATCTACATTGTCAGTAACACTCCAGTGAACCCTGGACTACTGAAGTCCCACACTAAAAGAAGTCCTAATATTTTAAATAAAAGTTTAGAGCTTGATTTCTCTATCAAGTTCATAATACAAGGGAGATGAAGTGTTTTTAAGGAAAATTCAAGCTGAAATGAGAGTCATGTGTAAAACTTTAGGAATAAAATACTTGGTCGAGAATCTCAAGATTCCTATGTCCAGTGACTTTTCCCTCTTTGAACTTAGGATGTCCATGAGGGGACGGACAATCATCTTCTCCATTAATCAGGCTCAGTACTCCATCTTCAGATTTTTTGATAGCCTCACCTTAGTGGCCTCAGGAAAAGTCATGTTTCACGGCCCTGCACAAGAGGCATTGAAGTACTTCACATCCACAGGTATGGTGCGGGGCGTTTACCCACCAACCCCACAGTTCCCCAGAGTTTTCTTGAGTGCGAGCAGCAGGAAATATTAGATAGAAGGATTTATTGCGGAGACTATTGCAGAGATAGATAGTAAATACAGGATAGCCTCAAGAGGGCCTGGAACCTATTCCAATGGGCCCTGACTGTCTATGCCCCAGGGTATTTATAGAGACACCAAGGAGTGGAGCAAGCCAAGTGCAGACCATCTCAAACATCTGCACTCAGGCCTGAGGTCCTAATCATCCTCTCTGTGGACCTGCTGGGTAAAGCCATGAGGAACCTGAATACGGGCTCCCACAGTATGGCTGGCTTTTGCTGTGAGAGTTCCTTCTTTCACGGAATCTGGAAAGAGAACAGGGCTTTCCAGGAATGCTGCTTGACCCTGGTGCAGACTTACTGTGTGTGAGTTTCTCCATTTTAATTTGGTTAATTTGGTGACAGGATTCTGTTAGCTGTGCAGTACAGGCTTGTTGTTCAGATCTCTTTTCTTTCTGCTGTCCTGTGTCATGCCTGTGTTACAGTATTTTTCCTGAGCCTCTTGTCCTGCATTCCAGTTGTGGTGACCTCTTAATTAACATGCTGGCCTCAGGCCCAGTTATCTGTTACTGGAAAAGCTTTGGAAAGCCCAGCATCATCCTGTTCTTGCTCACTTAACAGAGGGTGGTTTTCAGTTTTCTCCTGGTGTGGTCTGACTCTGAGGAGCTGTGGAGATGATACTTAACTTAGTAGTAACTTTGCATTTCAGGTTTAGGCAATGCTTGGGGGATAGAGTGGCTTAAGTCTGGCTTCTGTGGACTTGTGTGTTTCATCTACCTGTTTTTTTCAGAGTCAGATTGGATGATGACATATTTTGTAATGGTTCATGCTGTCAGTTTCATCTTAGAGAAATATGAATATAGTTATGGAAGATTCTCTTTGACTATAAATATATGTTTTAATATTTGCTGTACAATACTCTTTCTTTGTTTTGATTAATCTTAGCCATTTAAAAAGGTGCGAACATTTGTGAGTCTATGGAGTCCAATAAAAATTTAGGCCAAATTCAAATGATTCTTTCACAGGAAGAGTTCACATATCTATGTCTGTGTCCAGCCTATGTCTAGTTCATGTCAGTGTCTATGTATAGCCTATGCCCATGTCATGTCTATGTCTAGTCTAGGTCTATTCTGTGTCCATGTCTAGATATTTCTATGACCATATCTGTGTCTAGTCTATTCCTATGTTTAGTCTATGTATCTGTCTAGTTGTCTTTGTCTATGTCTAGACTATGTCTATTCTATGTCTATGTATTGTGTATGTATACCACCAACATAAACACATACATGTATACAATAGGATGTGAAGCAGAGATTGCTGAAATATTATGAGTGTATATATAATAAGAAAGATAAATTAGTGTGGAGGGGCAAGAAAAGGAAGAAGTTTTAGATTCTGTCTCCCTTTCCCCATCCCACTCTCTGAAAGAGAGTCCTCAGGTTTGTGTTCTTGGCCTGCCTTCTTTGTAGGTTACAAATATGATTCCCACAACAACCCTGCAGACTTCTTCCTGGACATCATTAATGGAGGTTTCTCGGCTATATTAGACACAGAGGAAGATGGCCATGATGGTATGTGAATCTTCTAGAGTCACAGGTTTTTGACTGATTTCATTAAAATACAACCATGAGTCTCATTAGAATATAACTTTTTATGTTAATTAACTGTCCTAAAATTTGCTAATAGCAGTTGCTGTAAGTTAGTGCTGAGCATTTTTTATTTAATTTATAAAATAACATTTATGTGATATTGTCAAAAGGGAAATTTCTGTTAAAAAGAAAATGTACTTATTGTTTCTCATATTGTTATTGTTTTAGATATAGTTTGCTCATACAGCCAGACTAGGTTTGAATGTGTGCTCCTTATGTCTCATGTCTCAAGTGAAGGTATTATTGTAGGGATATGTCACCATGCCTGACTTTGTTTATAACATTTTAAAAACAAGATACTTGGCAGTTTATACATTTTCCTGCACATTTGTATATATGTTCTCATGTGTCACAAAACAGGGACCAGACTTTTTTGTTACAAAGTATAGATCCATAAGGGAAGGAAGACTTTGCTAAGAATTGGGATCCAGATGGGAAAAGACCATTCAGTTTGCTGTATCATAGGATAATGACAGTAGTCAGGTCTGTTAGGGACACTTTTCTAATCTGTTAAGGAATTACACAGGAGTAATTTTATTATGCTCAAACTGTGGTGGGCTGACGATGAAGGTCAGCTGGTAGAGTCTTTGCCTCATTCACACAAAGCCTTGAGTTTGGTTCTTAGCACAGCATAACCATGTGTGAAGTGCCTGCCTGTCACCACAGCACCTGAGACAGACACAGGAGGAGCAAGAGAAGTTTAAGGTCACCCTTGGCTTCATAGCAACTTTGAGGTCAGTCTAGGGTACATGAAACTGTCTCAAAAAGAAAACAAAACAAAACAAAACAAAAACAAAAACAAACAAACAAAAAAACCCTGGTATATATTTTATGTTACTCATGAAAAGTGTCTCAGAAAAATCAGTTAAATTATTGTCTGTTTCTTGTCTATATCCACTTTCATCCCAAAGCCGACAAATATACAGAGCTTTCTGAGAGACAGCACCAAGTCACAGAAAAATTAGCCAATATGTATGTCCAGTCCTCCTTATACAGAGAAATGAGAACTGAACTGGATCCACTCTTGGGGGAACAGAGGGCAGGGAGGATCTCAGCCTTGGAGGAGATAACGTGTGTCACCCCTTTCTGGCATCAGCTTGGGTGGATTATCTGTCGTTCATTCAAACATTTAAAGGATTTTCGACAGGTCACTATGATTCAGGTAATCTGATAAATTATTTTAATTGTATTGTGAAAAACTCAAGAGGGAACAATTTGTTTCTGGCTCAGTCTGCTTCAGGTCACATTTATCTTCTACTCTGTTCCATGTGTTTGTCCTCTCTAATTGTCATATAGAAATATTCAATAAAGCAAGTAGAACACAATTAAATTTTACTTACAGACAACATTTTTAGCAGTGATATTTTTTATTTAGATTAACTATAATGACTAATCCCAGTAGGAAATAATTCAAGGAAGGCAACAAGAACTTCAGCACACCTGGGAGTTCCTCATACCTGTCTACTTTAATTCACCAGTGCATACTACAAGTTCAAAGTTCAGGAATGAGGAAGGGAGTCAAAGGCTTCTGTCCTGATGTAACTTTTCATGTTGATGGATGGATGGTGACTGAATAAACAGATAAAATCGTAGCATGTCAGATGACAGAATGGACTTCAGAGAAAGTTTAAGTAGGAAGGGTGGAGGTGACTGGGGAGGGAAAGGGGGTTGATCTGTACTTGAAATCATGGGATGAGGAAACAGGGCCATTGATCCCCTCTGAGGGAGCCTGTGCATGCACTGCCTGAGAGATGAGCCCATTGCAGAGTGCTGTTCCTTATTGGAGTCCAGGGTGAGAGCAGAAGCCACTCAGAGTGCAGTTCACACACAGATAGTGACTGGACTGAACAGTGCTCTTCCCTGTCAGCTGACTGGGAACTGGGAGGAAGTGAGGTTCTACTTTTCTTTAAACCGGCTCTGTAACAAGGATCATCATGCCTGAAGATTTTCTGTTATTTTAACATGAATCTCACACAGAAATGTGGTTCTTCCCGTTCAATGGGCCATCACTTATTCATTCATATTTATTTCATGATGTTGAGGATTCTGTTGTGTTAGTGTTTGATCCTGGGGCCTCAGCCATGAGAGGACAATCGCTCTACCATGGACCTACATCCCTGTCCCTGTAAACCAGAACTTATAGTCAGTTCTGTTGTTAGTGTGTTGTTATTTACTCTCAGGAATTTAGTTTCTGTTGATCACTGAAAGTTCCTGTTGTTGACCACAATGAAACACCACTTACTTCCTAACATGTGTGCTGCCCTTTTCATATTTGAATGTTGCTTCCTTACCTGTATGTATGTGAATATTCTTACCATTGGAGTTATACTGTTGTCAGTTGCTTCAAGCTGAAACAACTGGTATTTGCTTATTGGGTATTTAGTCATAAAAGAGGCATTTTTATGTCCATTCTTTTTTGGGAAAAAAAGGATTTAATATGACTAGAAAAAAGTGAGATACATTCAACAAATTGGGTTACTCACTGTTCAACAGTGAGGCAATATCATGAGGTAAGAAATAAGTGGTGTGTGTGTGTGTGTGTGTGTGTGTGTGTGTGTGTGTGTGTGTGTGTCTGTGTGTGTGTCTGTGTCTGTGTGTGTGTGTGTTAACAATGCTAGGAATTGAGGACCAATTTTTCAAATTATTTATTTATTTTTTTTTATGTATGGGTGTTTTGCCTGCATGAATATTTGTGCATCTTGTGCATCAGAAGAAGGCATCAGATCCTCTGGAACTGGAGTTACAGAAGGTTGTTAGGGTCCATTTGGATGCTGGGAACTGAATCCTGGGTCCTCTGCAAGAGCAGCAAGTGCTCTTAACTGCTGAGCCTTATCTCCAAACCATGGGATATTGGTTTCTAACTTACCAAATTACATGGGAGGATGCTTTCCTTAGATCATCATAGTCTCCTTTTAAAACATCATCATAGGAATAACAGTTAGACTCCTTCAAATAACTTACAGCATCATGTAGCCTCACTCCTTTGTTAAGTGAAGCACCTTCTAAAGCCATTTTAACCCAAACCAAAGCAGTGCAGGTCCTTGTGACTGTCTGCACAGACCGAGTGGATGGAGGTAGATGAGGGTCTGGAGGAGTTGGCAGCTTAGATGAGACTTGAGCACAGGTCACTCTGGCTGAGGTTGATGGAGCAGCAGTGACAGAGATGAGGGGCAGTGGGGCATCAGGTGACCCAGAGGACGCTGTCTGAACACTGTGGTGACAGCAATAGTGCTCGTTCCCACACAGGCACAGACTTCCCAGAGGTGACACAGGTGAGGACCAGCTCCCCCCTTCTTAGCACACAAGATCCCACTGCTAGGAACTGGGTTGTGAGTCACTTTCAGTTTTGTTATTTGGTTTGCAGTTGAGGGGATCAGGGCTAGGTCTAGTGTATGCTGTGCAGGGCTCTGCCACTGAGCTGTCCCCTGGCCTGGGGTGAACTTGTTTCTAACTAGAGTAAAGAAAGCCTGAGTTCGTTAAACCACTTGAAGTAGAAACTGCACATGTTCGCTGCACCAGAGCTGAGGTCTCAGTTTAGTGAACACTTTGTCACTTACTTTGGTTCGTCCCCAACCTCCCCAGGCACCTGCATTCTCTCCCCCTGTGTCATCCATGTTTCAGAACCTGAACTGAGCCCTTCACTGGCCTTCCCTGGTGGAGCACTGGGAGAGGTCTTAGCTTTTCCAGGGTCTGTGCTGTCAGAGCCTCAGACTGCAGAGACCTTAACTTTCAGTTTAACACACAAGCAGTCTATTAACTTGTCTGTTTTATATTCTTCTATGGACTCTGGCCAAAGTATAGTGTTTATCTCACTGGAAAGATCTGATTAGGAAACCACATATCTTAAAATAATGGACAATGTGTAGAATACTTTTGACTCATAATGGAAATTAGTTCTTTTCCCCATTATCTTTTTGAAAGGCAGTGATCATATTCATACTGGCTGTGCTTATGGGCATCGCTTTCCATTTCCTAAGAAATGATTGTACTGAAGTCCAGACCAGGTAAGCAAACTTGGATCCTGATTTTGAGAAAATGCTGTCAATTTTTTAGAGCTTATAAAATCCATTAAGAATTAAAATTTGTGACAAGAACAGCATAAACATTCTATCATGTGATAGAGTGCGTTGTTACATTGAAAGCTGAGTGGAACAACTCACTTTTCACATGTGTTTGTGTGTAGATAGTATGGAACTATACACAGCGCACATTTCATATTTTACCAGTTTTAGGGTATTGAGTAGCTTCAAGTTATGTGACTATCACCACACTCTAAATGTATGGCATCTTTTATCTTCCCAAATGGAATCTGATAGCTCTGAGAGAAGACTCTTCATACTACCCAGTCCCAATTCCTGGCATCAACCATTCTACTTTCTGTCATTGAATATGACTAATGTAGGAACCACGAATTGGAGTCTCACAAGTATCTGTTTTTGGTGTTCTTTGGGTTTTGTTTTTGTTTGTTTTGGGTGGCTTGTTTCCATTAGTGTGACGTCCTCAGGCTCATCAAAGTGTGGCATGTGTGTGGATTTCTTGGGCTCTGTAAGGCAGAATAATAGTCCATTGTGTGTGTGTGCTGTGTTGCTTCCCATTCATCTGTGTCTGGAAATGTGGTTTGCTCTCACCTTTGGCTGCTATGAACCGTGCTGTTGAGTGTGCAAGTACATCGGTTTGAACCCCAGACTTCTGTTCTTTAAGGTAGAAAGCTAGAGTTGCCAAATCATAGGCCATTGGGTTAATTGTTTGAGGAACTGCTGTCCTGTCTCCAGCTTCACTGAACTATTTTATATCCTCACCAGCACAACCCAAGGACTTCAATGTGTCCATATCACCCAAACTTATATTCTTTCTTGTTTTGAGTAAGATATCTAAGAAAAATAAATCACAATTCATTGGATAGTTTATGAAGTGTCTGTAGAACCTATTTTCCCATTTTATATTGGAATGTTTTCTTTTCATTCCAAAATTATTTATTTCTTTAGTGTGTGTATATATGTGGGAATATGTGTCCTACAGCATGCAGATGGAGGTCAGAGGACAATTTATAAGAGCTGATCCCTCCACCACATAGGTTTCAGGATTGTACTCAATGTTATCAATAATGGCCACAGTCATCTTAGCTGATGAACCATCTCACTGGCTCTTAATTTTTCCTTGCTATTGAGTTAGTTATTTTTGTTTTTGAGATGTGAATCCCAAACAAGATACATGATATGTAGACATTTCTTCCCTTCTGTGTGTTGCCTTTTTATTCTGTTGATAATACCCTTGGTACATAAATGTTTTAGTTTTACTATTTATTCTTCTTTTGTTTCTTCGGTGCCAATTTTCTTGGAAATATTTGGTTTGTTTGAATGTGAGTGTGGGGTAATAGGATGGGACTCAGTTTTTCCTGACTTGTCTTAAGATGTCACTTTTATGGTCCTTGTCTAATTGGAACTATAATGTGGCTTTAAAGATATCCTCTTATGTTAAATCTTTTTAGTGACTGTAGCATTTTTCAAACATATTGACTCATCAGCATCACAATTTTCAGAATTTTTACTGTAATTTATGGGTACATACCACCGTTTGCTCAACTAGGCTGCCTGCTTGACACCCACAGCCTCAGGGTACATCCTAATGGCCAGAGAGGCTTGACTATTAAGGAAAGATGATTAAGAACTTTAGGAAGCCTTTCTTGAGAGAGAGAGAGAGAGAGAGAGAGAGAGAGAGAGAGAGAGAGAGAGAGAGAGAGAGAGAGAGAGGTATTATAGGTACAGGTTTGTGTGGGGTGAACACATGTTTATGTGGTTGTGTGGGCATGTGCATGTTGGTGAGCATATTAAGGTCAGAGGTTGATGCCAGGCTTTCCTTGATGACCCTCCACTTTCTTTTTCAAGGCAGGTCCCTCACTATCCAGTAGAGCTCATTGACTTGGCCAGACTGGCCAATGAGCTCCAAGTGTCCACCTCTGTACCCGTCATCACTGGAGTTACAGATGAGAAGTACTGTGCCTGGGTACTTTTACATGTGTTTTAGGCATTTGAAATCAGGTCCTCACAGCTGCATGGCAGACTTGTTGCTGAATGGGTCAGCTCCTCAGCCCTACAAATCTGTTTTGATGTGTGGAAAACACAGATTAATTTTAAAGAAAAAAAAATAAACATAAAAATCAGTTCTTCTATGAATTGCCTTCTGTGTGGATCAGACGTTAGTCTGCAGTGAGGTGACTGGACCATCTGTTTCCATCTGTCCTCTTTTCACCTTCCTGACGACCAAGGTCTGGATGCTTTCCAAATCTGCGAGTTCTTGGTTTATGCCCTGTGTAGATGGCACATCTTAACCCAGCAGAGCAGAGACAACAAGACAGGCAGTGTAGACACTGTCACAGGAAGCTTTCAGACATAAATTCTAAAAAAAACCTGATGTGCAAATGTTCTTGGAAAATGCAGACACAAAGAAGAGCTTTCTTAGGTGTTTCTTCATATTCTTTTTAGAAACTGTGAAATGCTCTCAATTTGTATTTTTCACTTCATCTACTACCAGTATTTTATAAGAAATTGGATTATGTGACATTGGCTTTTAGGTATGGCTTATTTCAGTAGTCCTGATTAGTTGTTAATTCTTTTGGTTGGTGTGCTGATTAATTTTTTTTTTTTTTTGTCAACTTGGCACCAGCCAGAGTCTTGTGGGAAGAAGGAACCTCAATTAAAATAATTCATCTATCAGGTTGACTTGTAGGCAAGTCTGTGGGACATTTTCTTGATTAATGATGGATGTGGGAGAGGCCAGCCCAATGGGAGAAGTGCCCCCTCTGGGCAGGTGGTTCTGAGTTGTATAAGGAAGCACGCTGAGTGAGTCATGAGGAGCCAGCCAGTAAGGATCACCTCTCTGTGGCCTCAGCTTCCATCCCCTCCTCCAAGATCCTGCCTTGAATTCCTGTCTGACTTTCCTCGGGGATGGACTGTGACCTGGGATATGTAAGCCAGATAAATCCCATTCTCCCTAAGTTGCTTTTGGTCAGGGTGTTCATGGCAGCCACAGAAACCTAAGAGGGATAGTCTGAAACACTTCCTTAACATAATCTATGGAATAAAGCTATTAAATTAATCTCAGGGTCAATGTCAATATTTATTTCATTAGTAATGTTCAAGAGGTCAGAGATGCTTTTCATGTTTAGATCCAGCAAAGCCTTTATTTTGTCCAAGTAAAAACTAGGTTTGAATTTTGTGGCATATGAGCTCCTTTGGCTCAACAACATTATAGGGTTGAGGTGGCAGCCAAACATTAGGAGAAGGCATTGAAAGAAATAATTGAACACAGACATTTATTCTGTGCAGACTTATATGCCTATTTAAAATCATTTACCCAAAATGCACGTGAAGTCTGATGTTCATTGGAACATTGTGCGCAGTAAAAAAGTTAAGGAATTTAAGTGTCTACCAACACATAAATGGTAAAGAAAATGTGACTCAGAATGCTGCTTATCTTTAAAATGGGAATTTTTAACAATTTGGATAGAATTGAAGATCTGAGGAATATCATGTCAAGTAAAATAATCCAAACCCAGAAAGACAAACATGTTTCACTTACATGTGGATTATAAAGTAATTGACTCCAGGCAGCATAGTGTATACTTTGCCAGGGCAGTGGGGAGTGAGGAGACACATATGGGCTGAGAGTATAAAATCTGTTAAATAGAAGAAGTAAGAGTTTTCCCCTTTGAGATAAATTGTACAGCACATTCAATCCAGCAAATATTAATACACATTTTAAAGTTTCTGAGAATATATTTCTAATGAGTTACCATAAAAATTATGTATATTTGTAGTTATGGACATCACCTAATTTAGTTTGGTATAGTTATTTTAAAAAAATGTTCATGAATTATGTTAGTTTTATACCTTAAATGTGTAGCTATAGGTTGTTATTATACAATTATAATATCTAAAAAATCAGATTAGAAACTAGATGTGGTATATAAGGTTAAGTATAGCCAGGACCATTAGGTTCCCTTTCTAAGTACTTGGCTTTGTTGATAAAAACATATGAAAGTAAGCACAGATGGAACTTGTAGACAATTTATTGGAGACAAAGGAAGTGAGAATGCCCTGAGCACCAGAGAATGGTTGTGTGTGGGAATAGAAGAGTGGAGAGAGAAAGTTGTGCATTTAGTAGAGTAAAGTTAGACAGATGAGCCTTGAAAGCAGGTCTGGCTCATTAGAAGAAGAGGAGAATCCCATGTCCTCTGCTCTATGTTTGGTAATGGGGTGCTCAGGTATGTTTGTTCCTTTGAGGCAGGGCCACAGTTGACCTGATAGGCCCAGAACTTGCCATGTAGCCCAGGCTGGCCTCAGTCTGCAGTAGTCCTCATGCCTCTGTCTCCTAAGTCCAGGAGTTTGGAGGTCTTTCTGCTCTTCTCAGAGTCTTACTCATTCTTAGGCTGTCTTTTTCTTTTCCTTCCTTCTTTAATCTGGCCTTTGGTAGATTATAAAACGGAATTTTTCTTTAATGTAGAAGGAAACCTAGTCTCCAACAAGGTCCCCCTCATCTGATCTGAACATCTAACCACCACTGTGTACCTAGATAAAGAGAGTCATTGACCTCTGATTGTCAGTTGAGAAGGTGTTATGTGGCAGGCTGTTAGGACCCAATCATGCATCTGTCTAGAGGAACCTAACATGTGTGTCCAGGAAAAAGATAACTGCAGAGGGCCTTATTTTCCCCCTCCTCCTGCTTACCATCCCCTATCACACTAATACAAATTATCATAAATAAGCATGACTGAATTCATTTTATGAGCTCTTTGAAAACCATGTAGGTGTTATTCCCAGATCTTGGGGACTCCCAAGACCACCACAGAGACCAAATCCCAAAAGTAAAGAGTCTTTATTTTCAGCCTGGGAGCTTGGGCTCTCTGTCTGACATAGCAGTGAGAGCAGAGAGCCCAGAGCACAAGCAGGTGGGGTTTTTATCACGGCAGAGGTTGGGGTGAGGGGATTTCCAGGATTCAGGGCCCCGATTGGCTGACATTTGTCTAGGGGTATAGGGAATGTTTGGAATGTCAGGTATTTCCTCTTAGATGCAGGCCCCACTGGTGGGGTTAGCTTACGGCTTTTTCAGGTCCAGGTGTTGCCTACCAGAATCTGTCTGGGCTTCTAAGTTTGTCATTGTTAGTTTTTCGGCTGCACTGTGTTCTTACCCTGCAAGGAAATGTCACGAAACACGACAGGATCTGCTAATAAGAGTTTTATTAAAGGTAAAGGGACAGAGAGTGAACAGGCCTGCGGGAAGCACGTGTGTGGAGAAGAAGAAGGAACCAGGAACATGGCGCTGGATTTTAAAGGCTGGGCAGGGACAGATCTGCGTCACTACTACACGCAAGCGCGTAGATCACATGGCCACATTGCGTGCCTACGTAGCCAATGGAACGTCATGGATCTTGGTCACGCCAGATGCCCTGACCTGGAAATGGCTATCCTGACCTGGAACTAGCTAGGCGGAAGTGTCCAGGTCCGCCAGGCATGCTGGTCACACGAGATGCCCTGACCCAGAAATGGCTATCCTGACCTGGACCTGGCTAGGCGGAAGTGTCCGCCAGGCATATGCGAACACGCCCGACCGCGGGGGTGTGTTGTAAACCTTTCAGTCATGGCAACTGTGTGGTCAAGCTCTTTGGGGGCCTGTCCACACAGGAAGTTGTTGGCCTATTTTATGGATAACCATCAAAGCTTTAAAGATGTCTCTACAGTCCATGTCTCCAGTAAACTGTTGAGTAGAGATTCCTCTACTGTTTCATGTTTTAATTCTTACTCTTCTGTAAATCAACACAGCCAAATGAATGTGAAAATCCCTGAGAGTTTTATTAATCTTTATGTTCCTCTATTTATAAAGTAGGAATGATGATTATCTATTTTGTTAGTTAAATTAAAGTGGTGGGTTGGGATGCCATGACTAAATATCACAGACTCAGTAAATTTAAATGTAAATGTGTCTCCACACTGCAGTGTGAGAGTCTGAGGTGAGGATTCTCTCCCAGGCTCTTCCTGTCTGGCCACCTTCTCTCAGCCCTCTCCTGGCAGACACTGCAATGCTGTTTCTTCTCATGATGAGGACACAGATGGCGTTATGGGGGCTCCACTCTCATCATTTCATCTAAATTAACTTCTATATTACATACTCTAGAATCATTACATTACATTATCCAATTGTTAAATTTTAGAAGACACACTTCAATTAATCGATGCCGCTGTAGAGACAGAAGGAAAATACCTCATGGGACTCACACTTCCTGACCTTTTTAACCAGAACAGTTCTACATTTTCCATCTTCCCTTTTTTAAATACGTATTTTATTTGTATGTGTATGAGTGTTTGCCTACATATATGTCTGTGTACCATGTGTTTTCCCTGAGACCTCTGACTATCACAAAGAGACATTGTTTTCTGTCTTAGTTTGGGTTACTATTGCTCTGATTAAGCACATGACCATAGGTCAAGTTGGGGAGGAAAGGGTTTATTCAGCTTACCTTTCCACATTGTATTCCATTACTGAAGGCAGTCAGGACCGGAACTCAAACCAGGTAGGAATCTGCAGATGCCATGGGTGGGTGCTGCTTATAGGCTTGCTCCCCATGGCTTGCTTAGCCTCCTTTCTTAGAGAACTCAGGATGCCCAGCTCAGGGATGCACCACCCACAATGGGCTGGGCTCTCCTCATCCATCATTAATTAAGAAAATGCCTTACAACTGGATCTTATGGAGGCATTTTCTCAGTGGAGGTTTCCTCCTTTCAGATAACCCTAGCTTGTGTCAACATGACATAAAACTAGCTAGCACGGGCTCCCCTTCAATTTGACTGACAGATGGTTGTGATCCACCATGTGGGTGCTGCCAACCAAACCTGGTTCCTTTGCAAGAGCAACAAGCACTCTTTACTGCTGAGCCATATTTCTAATACTGCTTTAAAAAAAAAAAAAAAGACTGGATCTGTGTATGTTATTTAATCTACAGAACAAGGTGTATTAGAAAGAAACCATCCTAATGTTGGATTTATTGTTGTTTGTGCCTCCATTCTCTCCTGGCAGAGCCAACCTGCTCTTCTTGCTCACAGTATTCGAGTGTATCATAAGTGTGTCTACTGGGGAGCTCTTCATAATTGACAGGACTCGCTTTCTGTGAGTAACCCCTGCTCCAGAAGCAGGTGTCAGGGGCTGATGATCAAGTTAATTATATTCATTGTTGTGCCTAGAATCTTATCTCATGAATTACCAATAATTCCCCCTTTTACCTATTTATTTAGTTGAAAATAAACAAATTATGAAATTTTTGTTTATCATGTGGTATCATAATTTTTGAAGTATGTAAAGAGATTAATAATATTAACTGAAATGTATGGGAAATCAAGAGCAGAGGAGTCTGCTGCTCAGAGAAAGTTTCAATATTGGGGTGAGATCATCAGATCTCAGTGCTGTAGACAATACAGTAGTAGGGGGCTGAAAATAACAGAAAATTCATGACACCCCCAAAGAAGAATGTCAGGGGTTTCACAGAGCTAAAGTGTGGTGGGTTCAGCAGCACATTGGAGTTGGAGAGGTACAGCTGCACAAGAATGAGAGTCTCCTCTTGATGGAGGGCTGGAAAGAACCAGACAGCAGCTGTGTAGAAAAGGGCTGTTTATCTCCTGTGTTTTTCAAACATGGAAGAAACTTTTCCTGGTGGCTTATGCTTAGGATTCACTGCTCTCAGAGATGACCAAGATTTGTCTCCAAGTACATGCCCAGGAGAGAGGAGCTGAGGGCCTCACTCAGTTGGTAGAGTGCTTTGTGTGCCTGAAACCCTGTGTTAGATTCACAGTACCACAGAACCCTGAGTGTGCCTATATTCCTGTAATCCCAGCACTTGGGGCCAGGGTAGAGACAGGAGGATGGTCATTCCTGGCTACATATGGAGTTTAAGCTCAGCCTACATTGGTGATCCTGTCTCAAACAAACAAATAAACAAAAAACAGAAATGAAAGAAGATAATTGGAGAAGAAGAGCTTAGGATTTGGAAGGGTGAGGAATGGAAAGGATTAGATTTGGTATCTAGTAAAGATTCACAGTTGTAAAGTGAGATTATTGAAGAAATGCATCTGTTCTAAGTGTGGGTAGCTGGAGAGAAGGATGTAGTGTCCTGAAGCTGCACTGTGACCTCAGAGTGACAGTGTCACCTTCTTCATGACAAGTAGGAGAGAAGTCTCCATGACTACTGTCTGAGGTGAGGTAGGAATGAGCTGCTCCTCAGGGACTCTGAGTGGAGTGGGCACATTGGGCTGCTTCCCTGGAGGAGCTGTTATGTGGCCAGAGTGGACAAAACAGGGGAGAATTCTCTGATGGGGAGAATCCTAGTGAGAATGTCATAAGGATGATGACCTAGAGATGCTAGTCCCTAAGATGAGGATGTGCATGGGAGTCAGCCTGGAACACAGGGGACACTGTCCTGTTAGGCTCCCTGTGGTGGGAGAAGTCAGTGTAGCCAGTATCTCACCTGTGTCTTCTGGACTAATCTAAGGATGTTTAACATGATCTTTGTCTCTGCAGACATGAGCATACCAGTGGATACTACAGAGTGTCACCATATTTCCTTGGGAAATTGCTGGGTGAGCTGGTACCCAGGAGGTTATTGCCAAGTACTATATTTACTGTTATAGTATTCAGCATAGCAGGTAAGTGACAAAGCAAGAGAGTGTGTCTTTACTCTTTGGGGAGCGTGTTTTGCTTTGTACAACTGTGGCAAGTCTAAAGTAGGAAAGCATGAGTAGAAAAGCACGTCTCCAGTGTGTGCCATCTAAAACAGGTGTTCAGTGTGAGGAAAGTCTCCAAGACTTCTTCACAAAATACTAAAAAAGCTGTTTATGAAACTTTTTTTTGTTTTTTTGGATTTTGTTTGTTTGTTTTGTTTCGAGATAGGGTTTCTCTATGTAGCTTTGGAGCCTGTCCTGAAACTCACTCTGTAGACCAGGCTGGCCTTGAACTCACAGAGATCCACCTGCCTCTGCCTCCCAAGTGCTGGGATTAAAGATGTGCGCCACCTGTTTTTACTAGAGATTCTGTGAGGACATTCACACACTTTCTTGGTGGTGTCCTTCAGACCTTTTCTTTATTCTTCTTTTGCATTCTCTATTCTTCATTTTCCTGATTTCCTTCTCTCATTCTTGATGTTTTCCTTCTAACTCTATCTTTATTCTTGATGTTTCTCTTCTCCTTCCTTCTAACTCTCTCATTCTTGATGTCTTCCTTCTAACTCACTTTAACTCTCTCATACTTGTTATTTTGTTTTGTTTGTTGGAGACAGTCTCTTGCCATGTAGCCCTGGCTGGTTCTCAGGACTATAGTACTAAGCTGCACTTGAGGATTCAACTTTGGACACAGTAAAGGAGAAACTACAAAAATCCAGTCTATTTGGAGTTCTGTAAGCTTCTTATACCTTCATAGGCATGTCTTTCTTTAGGTTGGGAAAGTTTTCTTCTATAATTTTGTTGAATATATTTTCTTTGCATTTGAGCTAGAATTCTCCTTCTTCCATCCCTATTAATTCTTAGGTTGGGCCTTTTCACAGTGTCCCAGATTTCCTGAATGTTTTTTGTTAATTTGTTGGATTTGCATTTTTCTTTGACTGATGAATCTATTTCCTCTATCCTATCTTCAACACCTGAGATTCTCTCTTCAATCATTTATTCTGTTGGCTATGCTTGCATCTGTGGTTTCTGTTGGTTTACGCAGATTTTCTGTTTCCAGAATTCCCTTGGTTTGTGTTTTCTTTATTGCCTCTTTTTCAATTTTCTTGAACTGTTTCCTTCACCTATTTGATTGTTTTTCCCCCTGGATTTCTTTCAGGGATTTATTGATTTCTTCTTATCTTTTGTTTGCCTTTTCCTTGATTTCCACATCGATTGGAGGAAGAGACCCAATAGTTGGTCAGCAGGCAAGACTACTGTGGCTAGGCCACTCCACCAGAGGCATCAGAGGCCCCCTGGAGGCACAGGCTCTACCTGAACATATTCGAGGAAGACATTGAAGGAGGTATAACACTTGTACCTATAATTACCCAAACTCAGTTGGGTAGATGGCAGTGTAAAATACATTCAACAACATGAAGAGCAATATGGCACCACCAGAATCTAGTGGTTCTGCAACATCAAGACCTGAATATACTAACACAGATGAAACAGAAGAAAATGACCTTAAAATTAAATTTATGAGGTTGATAGAGGCCCTTAAATAGGTAATTAAAAATTCCCTTAAAGAAATGGAGGAAAAGACAAACATCATTCTTAATGGTTTTCCTTCTAGCCCATTTAGCTCTATCTTTTTTCTTTTTCTTTTTTCAATAAGAAATTTTTTATTCATTTTACATACCAACCACAGATCCCCCCCCTCCCCCGCCTCATCCCTCTTCCCATTCCCCCGAGCCTTCCACCCCAGCCCATCCCCCAGCCTGGTGATTTCCTTCTCTCATTCTTGATGATTTCCTTCTAACTCTACCTATATTCTTGATATTTCCCATCTAGTTCCTTCTAACTTTCTCATTCTTGATGTTTTCCTTCTAGGACATTTAACTCTAACTTTATTCTTTTTCTTACATCTTACATACTGCAGCAAAATCTTTCAGGCAATATAAAGATTACAATGTGGTTACATTCTGTTTAAGTGAATGATTACAATGAATACAAAACAGTAAAAGACAGCGTATTTTCCATATTCCTTATATGTTTAAACATTTTAAATACTTTAGGTGAAAACAAATTATCCCAAGAATCTATGTGCATTCATACTCAAGCAACTTTTTATAGATTAACTATGTAGGTAAGCAAGATATTTTTCTCAGTCAGGTCTTTTGATGATAGGTTACATTTTGCAGTTACAAAGAAAGGGCCAATTCCTTTATTACTTATCTTAAAAGATAATCTTATAAATAATCTTAAAAGAATTACAAATCTAAACTTTTATGAATGAAAAAGAATCAGTCAGCTCTAATTTAAATATTTGGTGTGCATACCCATTCATCAACAGTTTCTTATATCAGGAGGTTGAGGGCAAAAATCAGCACAAGGAATTAATCATCACTTTTGATCACCAACTAAACTTAGCAAGGAAAGTATGTCAGCTAATAATAATCAGGCTGCTTCGTATTTTTGACCCTAAGCCAATGAATCTATAACTCAGCTATGTATCCTTCTAAATTTTAGATTGTTTTCTGGGATTTTTCATCTTAAAGCTATTATCAAAACATCTGGATCTAACCTGAAGTTATTTTAAGGCTTTGTTTCAGCTAATGATGCACACCAAAACCTGTGACTCCATTGTTTAGCCTTAAGAGAATTAGAGCTAGCCTGGCTTCTGGGGACTCAATAGTTTTCCTTAATCATTAACCTGAACTGTGATCTATGCAGCTCCTTAGGTGAAATGCATAGGCCCTAGCAGTGTAACATGTTCTTGTATTTATTTTTATTCATCAAAACTCTGCATAAACTAACATTATTATTATCAATTAGACAGTAGAGATTAGGTAAGAATCATCTTCATAATAATCCACAGGTTAGAATGCCCAGTAGAACAGGATGTTTTCATGAGATAAATATAATATATTATAGGCAGTGGGGATCTCCCCACACCCATTCACATCATGCAAGATACCAGAAAAAGATGGCAGCAGCAAACATGTAAAGGCACAGCAGAAGCAAAGACATTGTGGGGTCTTTGGTCTTGGAGACTTGCCTGTCCAAGATTCACCCATCAGGGTGTTGCTTCCTTGGGGGCTGACACCTTGAACTTCAATTGCCACCTGCTGCTCCTCTTACATGGCCACTAGTAAGAGTTCAGGGCAGGAAATCTGGGCAGGAATCTGGAGGCAGGAAATGAGGCTATGGAGGAGTGCTGCTTACTGGCTTTCTCCTAATGGCTTCCTCAGCCTGTTTTCTCATAGAACCTATGACCCCCTGCCTAGGGATGGCATCATCCACAGTTGTCTAAGACCTCCCACAGAAATCATTCATCAAGAAAATGCCCCACAGGCTTGCCTACAGACCAATCTAATGGTTGCATTTTCTTAGTTGAGGTTACCTCTTCTAATATGACCTAGCTTGTGTTAAATTTACAAAATACTAACCAGCACATCCTGATCCCTGCTGTGGGATGGTCTATATGGCAAATATGTTGCTGATTAGTCAATAAATAAAACACTGATTGGCCATTGGCTAGGCAGGAAGTGTAGGCGGGACAAGGAGGAGAATAAAGCTGGGAGGTGGAAGTCTGAGTCAGAGAGACACTGCCAGCTGCCACAATGAGAAATAGCATGTGAAGATGCCAGTAAGCCACGAGCCATGTGGCAAGGTATAGAAATGGATTAATTTAAGCTGTAAGAACAGTTAGCAAGAAGCCTGCCACGGCCATACAGTTTGTAACCAATATAAGTCTCTGTGTTTACTTGGTTGGGTCTGAGAGGCTGTGGGACTGGCAGATGAGAGAGATTTGTCCTGACTGTGGGCCAGGCAGGAAAACTCTAGCTACAAATGGCGTTCAATGTGGTGGCAAGAGTTTCCACCTAAAAAGTGAGAAAAAAGATTCTAAAACGGAGCTAAAAACAGCTTCCTAATTGTCTCTCTCAAATGAGTGGCAGCTGCCGGTTTGAGCTACTGGTGGGTTCCTAGCGTGCTCGAACTGCCTATGGCGGGAATGAGGCCTCTGCAAGTGGTACATTAAGCTGCGTGGTGGATTTAGCCTTTGCTAGTACAAAACAAAAAATGAGGTTTCTGGACTACACGCTGCTTGGATAAAAGCATAGACCCATGATAGCTCCCAGAGCTGGTGGTAAACCACCACCATGTTGGGAAGCTGAGGTGGGCAGAGCCAGCAGCCACAGCTGCTGCAGTTTAAGCAATAGATTCACAATAAGACAGATTCAGATGTAATAGTTTACAATGTGTGTAAAATATACGTAGGCTTAAAAGAGACAGAAAAGGTGATATATACAGTTATAGAAACAAATACATAGTTTTAAAAAATAAAGTCTTTAAAAAGACAGTAAAAGTAATATAAAAAATAAGCCATGTAAAGATGAATATTACACAGTGAATCTGGATTGTGTTGTCTTTGGGATTTTTAACTGCAGAAAAACATTTGATTGTAAAAGCTGTTGAGTTATGCCAAAATGTATATTTTAAAGATACCCTGACTTCAAAATTTGGATATAAGGATATGTTGCTTTGGAAAGGAGACTCTGCTTTTGTTCCCACAGAAAGCCAGAGGCTATGGATTTGTTCCAGATTAAGATACATCAGGTTTGACCAGCCAAGACCCCCTGAGAGGTCTCCAATGACACCAAGGCCCAGATGATCCAACATCCAGAATGGTTTCAAGGCAACTGGCTCAGATGATACAGCCTCACAGACTACTCCATGATCCTAAAATTTTCTTTGTGTCCCCATAAGATACAGCGCCCCCCTCCAGCAGGAAGTAGTAAGAGAAGCTACGCCCAAATTCCCAAATTATATGTAATTTTACTTTGTTAAGGTTAAAACCTTTCTTTTTGGAAAAAAAGGGGGAAGTGCTGTGGGATGGTCTATATGGCAAATGTGTTGCTGATTAGTCAATAAATAAAACACTGATTGGCCATTGGCTAGGCAGGAAGTGTAGGCAGGACAAGGAGGAGAATAAAGCTGGGAAGTGGAAGGCTGAGTCAGAGAGACACTGCCAGCTGCCACAATGAGAAATAGCTTGTGAAGATGCCAGTAAGCCACGAGCCATGTGGCAAGGTATAGAAATGGATTAATTTAAGCTGTAAGAACAGTTAGCAAGAAGCCTGCCACGGCCATACAGTTTGTAACCAATATAAGTCTCTGTGTTTACTTGGTTGGGTCTGAGTGGCTGTGGGACTGGCAGGTGATAGAGATTTGTCCTGACTGTGGGCCAGGCAGGAAAACTCTAGCTACAGATCCCAATTTTATTAATAATGCAATTATAATAAGCACAGGGAAATGTGGACATGAGTATGTTCTATTGCTGATTCTCCTGTAAGAGAATGCAGTAATATTTTGGCCAGTAGTATTGCCTGTAGGTCTCCATGTCAGGATCTTATAATTTGACCATAATTATGTATAAAGGAGAACAGGTATTACATGGAAAGGTATTTTGTGGCAAATATAAAAATAAAACCATATGATGGGATTGTAGACACATTCATTGGTTAAGAGCACTCGCTGTTCCTCCAAAGTCCCCAAGTTTGGTTCTCAGCATACACATCATTTGGTAGCAGTTGGAGACCCAGATTAGTTGGGTGGCTGTGAAACTGTTGCTAGTGTCATTGATTATTAAAGTATTATTTGAAATATGTACAATTCTCTTGACTTAGTAGATGAACTGACCCTGCTTTTTTCTTTCTAAGGAGTGAAAACAGATGTGAAGGGTTTCTTCACTATGTTATTTACCATCATGATGTTGGCTTATTCTGCCACTTCCCTATCACTGTCTACAGGGGCAGGGGAGAATACAGTAGCTATACCAACAGCATCTGTGGGCATCTACTTTATGTTCATGCTGGTGAGTATGAATTGTGTTTTTCTAAGAGGAAAATTTTCCTTGTGTTCCTTCTGGAACATGTACGTGCTTGACACATCAGTACTTAGGACATGAGGCCTCATGCTAAAGTTTATTATGATCTGTAGGAGAAAAGGAGCAACCTTTCCTCCTAGGCTTTGTGGCTACTCTCTGATGTAAGTACTATGATATGGTTAAAATGTTCTTTCTTGTGAGCTCTTACCAGACATTTATTGGGATCATTTTACAAAACCATAAGAAATTGTAACTTCAAGAAAGTGGTATGATTGGTTGATTTCCTCCCACAAGAAGACAGATTGCAGCCTTCCTTTCATGCTGGTGTGAGAGTTTTGCCTGCTGTTTTAATCACAGCAGAGGTGATTTGGTTTATTCAGTCATCTCTAATGGGAAAGCAAAGGTCATGATCTGTAGTTGGTTGTTTTTCACTCTTTACTCTTTGCTCTTTTGGTGGCTTGCCATGCAGCTCCCAAATAAATCACACTGAATCTTATTATTACTTATAAATTCCTGGCCTTAGCTTGGCTTGTTTCTAGCCAACTTCTCTTAACATAAATTATCCCATCTACCTTTTGCCTCTGGACTTTTTCCTTTTCTTACTTATGTGTATCTTACTTTTACTCTTACTCTATGGCTGGCTGGGTGACTGGGTGGCAGGTTGGCTTGCCCATACTGTCCTCTTCTTCTTTTCTTGCTCCTCTATCATCTCAGATTTGTCCTCCTATTTATTCTCTCTGCCTGCCAGTTCCACCTATCCTTCCCTGACAAGCTATTGGCCATTCAATTCTATATTAGACCAAATAGATGTTTTAGACAGGCAAAGTAACACAGCTTCACAGAGTTAAACAAATGCAATGTAAAAGAATGCAACACATCTTTGCATCATTAAGCAAATGTTCCACAGCATAAACAAATGTAATACATCTTAGAGTAATATTCTACAACAATGATCAATGTAAGTGTTCAGCATGAGGAAACTATCTTAGGACTCACTTGTAATCTGAAAAGTGTTAGAAATAGTAGAAGATTCCAGACTCCTAAATAGTAATCAGTCTCCTGAATTAGCTACTTCTGCTCATCTGTCTGTAATTGGTTACCCAGTCTTAGTCTTTCATACATGTAAATTACACACTTAATGTTAATAAATCAACTGATAAATGGAACCAGATTCCACATTTTCCCAAGAAGCATATCAAGTAAATAGAACAATTAATTTAGTGTGTTAACATTCATATCCTTTCTGCTATTGTAAGAGCATACTGTAGCTTGGCAATAGCAGATGCATGTCTTTGAGAAAGTACTAAGTTTTGTTTATATTTCCTATATAATATGGCCATATGTATATGGCCATTCAGTAATGTAAATTTTCAATAAATGTTATTAATTAACTTTTGTTTTAGAGATTCTTAAATACACACAAAGTGTCTTGATAAAGTCCATGTCATTTTCTTCCTCCCAAATCCTTCCCTGTGGAAGTTTGAAGGAGAATTGTCCCCTAAGGCTCAGGGACTTGAACACTTGGTTTGCAGTTGCATCATGGTCTTGACCCCCTTTACTCATAGAATCTCACTTCCCTCTCTTCGACTGGACTCCCAAAGCTCAGCCTGGTGCTTGGCTGTTTCCATCTCAGTTACTGGATAAAGGCTCTATGATGATAGTTAGGGTATTTACCAATCTGACTACCTAGATAGGCCAGTTCAGGCACCCTATCCACTACTGGATATGGATCTGTTTGCAATTTTCTACATGTTGACATCCAATTATGTCAGCACCATGTGTTGAAGACGCTTTCTTTTTTCCATTGTACAGTTTTGGCTTCTTTGTCAAAAATCAGGTGTTCATAGGTGTATGGATTAATGTCATGGTTTTTAATTTCATTCCATTGGTCCACATGTTGGTTTTTATGCCAATACCAAGCTGCTTTTATTACTATAGCTCTATAGTAAAGCTTGATGTCAGGTGTGGTGATGCCTCCTGAAGTTGCTTTATTGTAAAGGATTGTTTTAGCTATCCTGGGTTTTTTGTTTTTCCATATGAAGTTGAGTATTGCTCTTTCCAGGTCTGTGAAGAATTGTGTTGGGATTTTGATAGGGATTGCATTGAATCTGTAGATTGCTTTTGGTAAGATTGTCATTTCTATTATGTTGGTTCTATCTATCCATTAGCATGGGAGAGCTTCCCATTTTCTGATATCTTCAATTTCTTTCTCCAAAGACTTAAAGTTTGTGTCATACAGGTGTTTCACTTGCTTAGTCAGAGTTACCCCAAGGTATTTTATATTATTTGTGGTTGTTGTAAAGGGTGATGTTTCTCTGATTTCTTTCTCGGCCTGTTTATCATTTCTATATAGGAGAGCTATTTTTTTTTTTTTTTTAGTTAACCTTGTATCCTGCCACTTTACTGAAGGTGTTTATCAGTTGTAGGAGTTCCCTGGTAGAATTTTTGGAGTCACTTATGTATACGAGCATATCATCTACAGATAACAAATGTTTGACTTCTTCCTTTCCAATTTGTATCCCCTTGATCTCCTTTCATTGTCTTATTGCTCTAGCTAGAACTTCAAGTACTATATTGAATAGATATGAAGACAATGGATAGCCTTGTCTTGTTCCTGGTTTTAGTGGAATCAGTTTGAGTTTCTCTTCATTTAACTTGATTTTGACTGTTGGTTTGCTGTATATTGCCTTTATTATGTTTAGATATATTCCTTGTATTCCTGATCTCTCCAAGACCTTTATCATGAAGGGGTGTTAGATTTTGTCAAAGGCTTTTTCAGCAACTAATGAGATGATCATGTGTTTTTTTCTTTCAGTTTGTTTATATAATGGATTATATTAACAGACTTTTGTATGTTCAACCATCACTGCATTTCTGGAATGAAGCCTACTTGGTCATGGTACATGTTTTTTTTTATGTGTTCTTGGATTTGGTTTGCCAATATTTTACTGAGTATTTTTTTTTTTTGTTTGTTTTTCGAGACAGGGTTTCTCTGAGTAGCTTTGTGCCTTTCCTGGAACTCACTTGGTAGCCCAGGCTGGCCTCGAACTCACAGAGATCCGCCTGCCTCTGCCTCCCGAGTATTTTTGCATCAATGTTCATGAGGGAGATTGGTTTGTACATCTCTTTGTTTGTTGCATCTTTGTGTGGTTTGGGTATCAGGGTAACTGTAGCCTCATAAAAAGAGATTGAGAATGCTCCTTTTGTTTCTATTCTGTGTAACAATTTGAGGAGTATTGGTATTAGCTCTTCTTTGAAATTCTGGTAGAATTCCGTGCTGAAACCATCTGGCTCTAGGCTCTTTTTGGTTGGGAGATTTTAATGATTGCTTCTATTTCCTTAGGGATGTTAGGTCTATTTAAATTGTTTATCTGAGCCGGGCGGTGGTGGCGCATGCCTTTAATCCCAGCACTCGGGAGGCAGAGGCAGGCGGATCTTTGTGAGTTCGAGGCCAGCCTGATCTCCAAAGCGAGTTCCAGGAAAAGCGCAAAGCTACACAGAGAAACCCTGTCTCGAAAAAAACCAAAAAAAAAAAAAATTGTTTATCTGGTCTTGATTTAATTTGAGTATGTGGTACCTATCCAGAAAATTGTCCATTTCCTTTAGATTTTCCAATTTTGTGGAGTACATGTTTTTGAAGTATGACCTGATGATTCTCTGGATTTCATCAGCGTCTATTGCTGTGTCTCCCTTTTTGTTTCTGACTTTGTTAATTTGGATGCTCTCTTTCTGCCTTTTGGTTAGTTTGGCTAAGGATTTGTCTATCATATTGATTTTCTCAAAGAACCAACTTTTAATTTCATTGATTCTTTGTATTGTTCTCTTTGTTTCTATTTTATTGATTTTAGTCCTCAATTTGATTATTTCCTAGCATTTATTTCTCCTGGGTGAGTTTGCTTCTTTTTGTTCTAGAGCTTTCAGGTGTACTATTAAGTCACTGGTGTGAGATTACTCCAAATTCTTTATGTAGGCATTTAGAGCTATGAATTTTCCTCTTAGCACTGCTTTCATATGTCCTGTAAGTTTGGGTATGTTGTACATTCATTTTCATTGAATTCCTGGAAGTATTTAATTTCTTTCTTTGTTTCTTCCTTGACCCATTGGTGATTCAGTTGAGCATTAATCAATTTCAATGAGATTGTAGGCTTTCTGTAATTTGTGTTGTTGTTGAATTCTAACTTTAAGTCATAGTAGTCTGATAAAATACAGGAGGTTGTTCCAATTTTTTTGTATCTGTTGAGATTTGCTTTGTGACTGAGTATGTAGTCGATTTTAGAGAAGGTTCCATGGGGTCCTGAGAAGAACGTATATTCTTTTGTGTTAGTGTGGAATGTTCTGTAGATATCTATTAAGTCCATTTGAGTCATAACATCTGTTAGTTCCTTTATTTCTCTGTTAAGTTTCTGTCTGGCATGTGGGAGTCTATGGGAGTCCAGCTCCCACCTTTTCCACCTATTCTATAGTTCTTAGGAGGAGAGAGGGGTAAGAAAATATCAGATGGAAAGAGAGACCTCAACAAAGAAAAAAAGACAGAAACATGGAATAGCTTCAGGAGGACCTGGGTCAGTATCCAATGGCCTTTTTTGTTTATTCAAAAGGCTTTTTATAACATGCCAAGGGGAGAGGCAAAAGACCTTCCCCTTGCAAGAACAAAGCATACTGTACAGCCAAGTGTAGACCCTTCCAAATACCTGGTAACCACACCTGTGGTCAAATCATCCCCTTATGCTGCCATACTGGATAAAGGAAGCTCAGATTATCTGGCTCTGAGTAGTTTTGGCCTCCACACTGGCAGACCTGTCCATTGGTAAGAGTGGAGTGTTGAAGTCTCTCACTATTAGTGTGTGGGGTTTGATGTACAATTTAAGCTTTAGTAATGTTTCTTTTATATATGTGGGTATTTGGGGCATAAAGATTCAGAATTGAAATTTCATCTTGATGGATTTTTCCTGTGATGAATATGCAATGTCTCTCTTGATCTCTTTTGA